GAAGAAGAAGAATAAGGTGCTTATGATCCAGCCATCGAAGAAGAAGAAGAAGGTGCTTGTGATCCAATCAAAGAAGAAGAAGAAGAAGGTGCTTATGATCCAATCATCGAGGAAAACCACAAGGAAGAAGAAGCAGCAGAAGAAGGTGATGTTTGTATTTCTAATGGTTATCATAGAGATGACCAGGATAATGGTAGTGATGATCATGGAGATGGATATGATGAGAATCTAGAGAGAAGGGTAGAAGCCTTCATTACTAAGGTCATTGAGGAATGGAGGAAAGAGAAGTCGATGGAGAATGATCATGGAGATGGATATGATGAGAATCTAGAGAGAAAGGTAGAAGCCTTCATTACTAAGGTCACTGAGGAATGGAGGAAAGAGAAGTTGATGGAGAATGAAGAAAGGGCCGGTATAAGCTTTTACCATCTCTGATAAATTGTCCTAAATACACCCAACCCCAACTTTCTGTGTCTTCGTCTTCCTCTTCTTTTTTTTTTTTTTTATATGCGAATCCCAACTGTTTTTCTTGTAGGGGCTATCATCAGTTTTATTGATGGGAACAATATGAAGAACTATCAATATTTAAAAGTGCATTATGTTTATCTTACAATAAAAATAGTATATAAAGTTCTTTTCTTTTTATTTTTTTTGTTTGTATTTTCCTATAACAATGAGAACCAGATGCAAAAATTATGATAAATTCAAAAAATTCACAACCAGAGCAGGTGACATAAAAAAAAAAAAAAATTAAGATACAGGAGCAGTACTGCTCAGATTCAAAAAAACTGCATCAGGCCATCATTAACTTCAAGGCATTCACAAAAAAAAAAAAAAACATCTTATGTAAAAACTGTAAGTTGAATGACTAATGCCACACGTAGAAAAATAAATGAACTTAGCGAGTTAAGAAAACATACAAAGATTTAGTACTGCCTGTTGAGGGGTGAAAACAAAATAACCAAGCCAAGAATTGTTTCTGCACTTTTGCGAGGTGCATCATCAGGCTTAATAAGGATTGGTCTGACTATACGATCAATAAGCTCATATTCAAGGGCCTCTTGAGCATTGAAGCGTTTCATCCTGCTCAAGTCCTGTTAAATCTGCACATCAACATTAGATATAAGGCGATGCTGATGACTAGCAACAATTTAAAATTTTAAATGACTGAGAAAAAAAAGACCAAGTGAAAGGACACATTAGGTTTGTTAATTAATGAGAAAACTCACCTTTTTAGCAGTTAATGTCAAAATAAATAATCAAAATTGCTTACTAATTTTTGTGAGTCCCATGGAAATGTCAAAATAAGGCATGCATTCAAGAAGCTATTTGTTAATAAATAAAACGATTTATTTAATATTTTCTCTTAAAATATAAGTTAAAAGTGTATTAAATATATTTTTTATTATAAATTTATATTAAAATTATAATAATTAATTTTTAATTTATTAATTATCTAATTATATTCATTTAACATTAAAACTGATATCAATTTTTATATTTTTTATATATTTATAATAAAAAATATATTTAATACATTTTTTAATCTACATTAAAGAGACATGTACAAGGAAAATTCATAAATAAATATTGGGGATATAAAATCTGCGTGACGGGTCAGTATGTCAAAAGTCCGGCCCGATCCAGGCCACCCGGGTACCATATTTATTTATTTTTTATTTTTAAAAAATCTTTTTATATCCGAGGATTATTTTACCTTTTCCCTTGAGAAGGTCCATCGAAGAAGAGCAGAGTTTTGGTTTGGGGCGGTGATTGATTCGCAGAGAGAAAGGAGGCAATTTCAATTGCTTGGAGTAAAGGTAACAACCGATTCCTTTTAAATTCAACTGTTTGATCCTCTTTTCTGCCTGAATTCGTCTTTGATTGAATTCATTCATACAATAATTCTTAGATCAAAACCCTAATTTTCAATTT